GGCATTGACCACGAGATCCCCCTGGAAAAGGATACAAACGGCCAAGACAAGACGCCACCTTGGGGACCACTGTATAGCATGTCGCGTGAGGAACTGATTGTCTTGCGGAAGACCCTTACGGAGCTTCTGGACAAGAACTTCATCAGGGCAAGCAGCTCTCCTGCCTCAGCACCAGTGCTTTTCGTCAAGAGACCAGGGGGCGGTCTTCGCTTTTGTGTTGACTACCGGGGGCTGAACGCAATCACCCGCAAGGACAGATATCCTTTACCTCTTATCAGCGAGACGTTGAGATCCCTGTCTAAGGCAAGGTGGTTCACGAAGCTGGATGTGATTGCGGCATTCCACAAGATTCGCATCAAGGAAGGAGAGGAGTGGAAAACAGCTTTCCGCACCCGATATGGACTTTATGAATGGCTGGTCACCCCCTTTGGACTGACTGGCGCGCCAGCCACCTTCCAGCGATACATCAACAACACTCTACGGGAATTCCTGGATGAGTTTTGCTCAGCTTACATAGACGACGTCCTCATCTACTCGAGCGGCTCCCTTGCCGACCATAGGGAGAAGGTCAGGAAGGTCATGAAGAGGCTTCAAGATGCCGGCCTCCAGGTTGACGTCGACAAATGCGAATTTGAGACCACAACCGTCAAATACCTAGGATTCATCGTGGAGGCTGGCAAGGGGGTTCGGGTTGACCCTACGAAGATTGAGGCCATTGAGTCATGGGAGCGCCCACGGTCTGTCAAGGGAGTTCGCAGCTTCTTGGGATTTGCCAACTACTACCGCGACTTCGTCCCTAGGTTCTCGGATATAGCGATGCCCCTAACAGCGCTGACGAAGAAGGGCACCCCTTTCATCTGGTCACCCCAGTGCGAGCAGGCTTTTCAGCACCTGAAGGCCCTCCTGATCGGAGCCCCTGTCTTGGCCCAATGGGACCCAGAACGGAAGACAGTGGTTGAGGTAGACTCCTCTGGTTACGCTGTTGGAGGAGCCCTCTCTCAGTACGGGGATGATGGACTCCTACACCCAGTCGCCTTCTTCTCCAGGAAAAATAGCCCAGCCGAGTGCAACTACCCGATCCACGACAAGGAACTCTTGGCTGTAATACGCTGTTTGGAGCAGTGGGACGCAGAGCTACGAAGCGTGCCGTCATTCGAGGTCTGGACGGACCATAAGAACCTCGAATACTTCCAGAAGAAACGGCAATTGAGCGAGAGGCAGGTCCGCTGGGCAGAGATCCTTGCCAGATACAACTTCACCCTGAGATATCGGCCTGGCAAAGAAGCGGCAGTCCCAGACGCCCTCTCAAGGAGAGAGCAAGACATGCCAGCAGATGAGTTCGACGAACGCCTCGCAGGACGCTATTTCCAGCTGTTGAAGGCCAGAAGGGGCCGCATCAGGGTACTTGAGGGCCAAACCAAGGCAATTCAGCAAGCCCTAGGCAAGAGGGCAGACCAGGACAGAGAAACAGACGATGAGGCAGACAAATCTGAAGCCCTAGTCAACCCCTTTGCGGAGAACCCTCTAAGGGAGTTGTGGGAACAGGCACTGCAGGCAAACAACAGGTATTGGTTGATCCGCCCAACTAGTTAAGGAGGGTGCAAGGCAGTTCCTCAAGCAATGGGGGCTCCCTATCTCCATCTCGCAGTGCTCGATCGACGAGGGAGGCCGACTCTGTTGGAGGGACCGTATCTGGCACCGTTCTTCGAACCCTTGCGCATCCGGGTCATCCAGGAGACTCACGATTCGACGCTCGCCGGCTGTAACGGTCCCAGGAGTATATTGCAACTAGCTGGTGACGACTCTACGAGTTTGTCTCGAATGGAGAGAGAAGAAGAAAAGAGAGAACTAGATGACAGGAAGAGAGGGCAGCTCTTATATGCTCCGGAACACACAGACACTGCCTGCCCCTGGATGACGTTATCATGATACCACGGCCGAGGGTTGCTGAGGCCATCATTGGCTCAGCCCATCACAGGACGAGTATCCACGGAGAAATCATTCTCCACCGAGACTACTACTATCTAGCTGTCGTCCCTCCCACCGCTCGACTACGCCTCTGCAAATCAGACCTGCCAACAGAGTCCAAACAACAATATTACTGCCCGGAACCCCGTCTCACCTCGTCGTACGACCTGATTAAGCGATGCGTTAGCTTAGTCCAGGCCATCTGGGCTATATTTACCGCCTATCGTGCGCGCGGGGACCAGCTGGAGCAGTACGGCTACGCCGCGTTTGGCCTGACGGTGGTCCCCTACGCCGTGATGTCCATTATCAACCTCACGGCGCAAATCCTCAACCCCGACTACCCGTGCATGTTCGTCATTGAAACCCCTACCCTCGCGAGGGCGAGACTCGAGGGCAGGGCTGTCGTACAGGGGACAATCCCCGTCAAGTATGGGGACGACCTCGTCGGGGAGGAAGAAAACAACAACGACGAGAAGAGCCAGGCAGCGCCGTCGCGACTGTGGACATGGGCGAGGAAAAAGCTAAGCAGGATCTTCGCGGCATCGGACGCTCACTTCTTCCCCGACGCCTCCCAGATCTCTCGTCGTGACGAAAAGATTTCTTTGAAAACCGAGAGCTTTGCAAGGATTGGGCTTCTGGCCTCCTGGTTGGATTGATTCCCCTAGGTGTAGTGGGAGCCCTTTCTGGTTTCCGTAGAGGCATCAGCTCGCCGATGGAAAGGGGCTTTACCATGTCTTGGCTCGTCATCGGTATCATGGGAGCCGTGGCCCCTGGAATAATGGATTTGCTGTTCGACGACACGGACTGCCTCCTGCGCAAGCTTCAGCTGCGGCCATGTTTCCAAATACTTGTATTGTATTTTAGCCTCGGCTTGAGCTATGGCGTTCCCGCACTTGGTGGGATGGTCGTGGTGGGCAATATGATCCACGACTTTGGTATATGTACGCTTATACGTTAGACTACTGGACTAACGTTAACCCTTTTTATCTTACAGGGCGGCCTGGCGGCCGCCCGAACAATAAAATGAAACCACACGCGAAGGGAACTGGTCCCTAAAAAGTCAAAAAAGTATGGTACGCAAGAACATTCTCCAGGCTGTCGTGGCCCTTCATGCCCACCTGAATGGCGGCCCGCCCCAATCGCTTCATAGCAAGCGCCTTGAGCGACATTCCATCAGAGTGTCCTTTGCCACGCTTCTTACCATCCTTCGGCCCTCCTTCCTTGGGCATGTCCACTTCCTCCCTCTTCTTCTCCTGCCCCGCCTTCAACTTCGCCTTTTCCGCATGGCTGACTCCCTTCTCATCCGAAAGGACTTGACGGACCCAACGCCACACTCGGCGCTGACAGCAATCTGAATGCAAACTTTACCATTCCTGAGAGTAAGTTTCTCCAGCCGAACCCCTGCCCGTCCTGGGATAGAACTTGGAAGCTAATGCACAACTCCTACATACCTGTAGATCGCGAGCTCCGCCGACTCCCCCACCAGGCCTTCAGGCACTGGGGAGAGTAAGCATTTATCTTCATGCTTCCCCGGCATTCGAGACACTGGATCTAATACCTTTCAAGTGAAACCATAGGGAGAGAGGAGTTGACTCAACCAGCACCAACTGGGCTCAGCTCATGTAAGCCCTTCAGAATTTACCGATAACTATTGGACGATGAGGTAGCAGCACGTGGCATTCTCTACCTGATGGTGTTTCAGCAGCTCGGCCAGCTGGTCAGGTGGAGCTGGGGATCATGTGCAGCAGGTTACGTTGGACAGCCAACACCTTGTTCGCCTCGGTGATAGCCATGGAATCAAGAGGCCGGTGCTGACAGCACTCGGGCAAGCCGGTGAAACTTCCAATGAGCTGTACGGTACCGTTTGGGAAAAGCGACTCCTTCCAAACCGGCAGAGACCGCCAGGAGAATTACAGACGCAAAGCTAGCGAGAGACACCAAGAGGCCGACGACTGGTTGAAGACACGGGGGCTTCATGGCGATGATCTACTGGACCTGGGAGTCCCGGAAGACGAAATTACTCCGGTGAGCTTCTGGGGCAGCGGTCACCACACGGATGAAGGGGTGAGATGCTCGACACTGATTCATGCAGTCATTGGGAGTCAGCCGCGGGTTAGATTGTCTTGCTCATATGTCTGGCTAGGATCAGCAAATTATCCAACGATTTACCCTCTTTTAGTTCCCTTATTACCTCTCTATTCCCCCCTCCACCTCCCGCGCAGGATCCTTCCCTTTCATGGTTTCATCCCACCTCCTTATTCTTTGGTCTTCTTGGTTCTCTTCGGCTTGGTAACATTTTCTTTCTTATTAAACCTCAACTTGTTCTAGAAGCTAGTTACTATTTTGTCTCCTTAGGATCTGTGTTCGATTTGGATAATTGGCTCATGGGCAACGGGACTTGACGACAAGATGGAAGCTGGAATTAGCCTCTGGTAAGATTGCACCACCCACTAGACAGCATCCCTAAGTTAGCCTCACCTTAGGAACCTAGATAGCATATACAGTAGCTTCGGTGAATAGTCGCCTGGCTAGAAATGAAACGCCTGGTTAGCTTTTGCCGATTGGTTGGCGCTCATGCACATTATTCTCAAGTGGCGCCCCCTTCCAGTCGGTTTCAGCTCGCTGCTCACATGCAGAATCTCATGAGGTGGTGTATTGGCCAACTATAACCATAGCAAGACCGTGAGTCTCATTGTCAGTGACATGGGAAGCATGCTTCAAACATTTGGTACGGACGGTACGGCAGGGTGTTCCGGCTGATTGACAGGCAATTTAGCTATCCAGCGAACCCCAAGTTCCGAACACCTGCAGACAGCATCAAGCATTCCGGTTCTGGCAGCTAGAGCCCAGAGAAGCACGCACATACTGTGCCACATGTCGCCCCAAAGTTATCACATTCCGGAACCGAATATTATTGTCACCTAGGGCACAGCGGTGTAGGAATAATAATATTATTGTCACCTTGGAGGCCCGCATTGGGTATTGGGTCCCAAGAAGACGTCTCCCCACACGTAAGCAACGTGCTAGTGGCAGTTTTGTCTGCCGTTTCCCACGAGCCATGCCAGATCCATGCGCTTGCATGGCCCAGCTTGCACGAACAGTCATAGCGGGATGGCCCACGAATCGATGGCGCTGAAACGTGGAGGTGGGGAAGCCCTTGAAGCTGACGGCCACACACAATCTGCACCTCGACTGGAGGTCTCAGAGCTTCAGACCTCAACCAATAACGCGAAGGGAACTTTACCTTGCCGTCCGGTTCACCCAATAGGGTGCCGGCGGCACAGCGTTCACCTCGATCTTGGCCTCCTCGGATGCCAATCCTGCAGTTCAAGTTTGAACAGGATGAATGCATGGTACGCCGGCCAATGCTCCAATCCTGTCCGAACTTAAGTCGCAGGCGACATTTTGACAGGACGCAGCCGTTGCCTCGGTTCGCCGCCATGGCCATGGGCTTTGGGTCTCGCAGCTCCCTTGACCCCTGACTCCTGTTTTCCGATTCCGATAACGTTAACGCTTTGTTATGCCAAAGCTGCCCATTTACAAGATCTTAGCGGATGATCATACAGCCTTACCACTCCACCTACGTGTAATGCAGGACCTGGCTAGTACCCGGGTTCCCATGTCTCCAGGTTCCTGACAAGGTGTCGTTACCAACATGAGATGAACCAAAAGCCCCAACCATGCACAGGTGCATGCAATCATCCCACCTAACAATGGACGACCACAACTGCCGATGCCATGACGGGTGGAAGCGAGAACAGCTTATTGCCGCAAAGGCTTGGCCTGTCAAAGAGCGTTGCATTCCCAGCCGTCCCGCATACTCACCGACCGACCCGCCAGTGACAAAGGCCTCCGTGGGAAGGGCTGCCGGCAGAATCTATCTATCTCTCTTTAAGCAAGCCAGCTGTCGAGACACAGATAGTTTAGAGGAGGACCAATTCGAGCTCTGTCCTTTTTCCATCGACGATCGCCAGAAAAGACCTGCTTGAAGCGGCTGGGAAACCGCGCTTCTGGACCATTGTCCAACGACCTACGAGGAGCAAGAATGTTGCGCACTCGGTGTCAGACACTACGCTGTCAGAGACTTGAGTGTGCCCGTGAGGAGGCATCATGAGTGACACGGAGACGCCGCCGTCGCCGGGGGGACCGCCTCCCTTGCCACCGAACCTCCCGCACGACTCGCTTAAGAACAACATCATCATATCGTCGGCCGTCTGCTGGGCCATCGCCGCCTTCTTCGTTGGGCTGCGCTTGTACACAAGAGGACGCATCATCAGGGTGTTTGGGGCGTCGGACTGGAGTATTCTCCTTGCGCTGGTAAATTCGTGGGACCGTTCCAAGTGACACAGCCGAGTGCTGACGGTCCCAGATATTCGCAGGAGTCACCTGCGGTGAAGTAATAGAACGTTAGTTCTCTGTCTCTCTTGTGCAGTCCCGTCGGCACTGACATGGATATCAACAGAAGCAGTATACGGCGCGGGGCAGCACACCTGGGACCTCGATCCCAACGACGTCTCTTCGGCAATAGCATGGGGGAGAGTAAGTCTCTTTTCGCCATGCCCTACCCTACCTTTTCCAAGAGTCATATTGAACAGGTCATGTAACAGGCAGCCTGGTACGGCATCCTCTTCTACCTGCTCTCGCTTGCCTGCTCCAAAATCGCCATCCTCCTCCTTTATATCCATCTCTTCACCTTCAAGTGGGCGCGCCTGGCCGGACAGGCGCTGCTCTCTCTCGTGGTCCTGTCGCACCTGTTCATGGCAGCCGTGACCTTCACCGCTTGCATCCCGCTCCACTCGTACTGGGACTTTACTGTCGAGAAGAGATACTGCCATCCGCAGAGCATGTGGTGGTCCAACACCGGGTTGCACATGGGTCAGTTTCAGCCACCAGACGGCATGTCAGTGATCATCTATGAAAGAAGCATCCAATGTGTTGATGCGCGATGAACAGTGACGGACTTCCTAATCTTCCTCCTGCCGATGCCCATCGTCTGGACACTCAATCTCCCGCGCCGACAAAAACTGATCCTCTCTGCCGTGTTCGGCTTCGGGTTCCTGTAAACCCCCCACCCTTCCTTTTCCCTCTCCCTCTCGTTTTGAAATGACCAGAGACACTGATTCAAGACTACCACTTGTGTGTCTACGGTGTAGAGTCTGCTTCATCTCAATCCTCCGCCTCCTGCAACTCCTCCGCGCCCAAACCGACCCAGATTTCACCTACGTCGCGGCCGAGCTTTCGTATTTGACGGCCGTCGAGGTCAACGGCGCCATCGTCTGCGCCTGTGTCATGACGCTCAAGCCGTTCCTGACCCGCTTCTTCCCGCGCCTCTGGGGCTTGAGCTCTGCCCGCCGGTCGCGGTCGTCTCGCTCTGGCGGCGGTGTGGGTTCGGGGGTGCGCGGCGCTGTGAAGTACGCGGGTGGCGGACCGCCGACCATTGGGAGCTTGCCGAGTAAGCTCAGGGGGGGACCATTGGCTGGGTTGGAGAGGGATGTGTGGATTGAGGGGGACGTTGTCGGGGGGAAGAGAGGGGGGAGGAGGGTGTGGGTGGATGGGGGGTATGTTGAGATTGGTGACGACGGGGAGGGGGATGTGTGGGGGGTGGATGTTGAGCTGGCTGATTGTGTAAATGGGAGGGAGAGCGGCGGAGAGGGGAGGACTGTGGCGGCGCCGCCGCCGATGGTGGTTAAGAGTGGGATTGTGAGGGTCGATACCGAGGTTACAGTGCAGGTCTCCAATCTCAAGGCGAACAAGTGATTAGCACTGTGGGCTGGTAGTTGGTTTGGGATTTCCTTGTCATTAACGCAATTCCTAAGGTAGGTAGCTGTCCTGCACTCGAATTCTCGACTGGACTCTCAGTGTACGTGTGATTACCCGGATGAAGTGGGTTCCCGGAGTTTCGGCATTAACAGCGAAGCCATCGTCTCTTGGGACCCTCCATTGAAGAAGCCACCAGCCAGTCCAGAATTTCCAGGTAAATGAACTCTCCCTGAACACCCAGTCACAAGATTCCGCATTCCATTTCCACCCCAGCTGCAAATAGGTTGTTTTGTCCATCCCCTTTAGGGCCTCTGCCCGGTCCCGGTCCCAAAGTGTGAACCCTGCGCACCTCCAGGTAGCCAGCATACTTTCTTTGAGGGCGCGGTCATACCGCCCGCTGGCTGGGGAGCATAACCCTTGGCCAAATAAGTTCAGGTACCGCCCGTTCAGCGTGTCCACCCAGGCAAAAGGGGCGAGATCAAGTTCATCTTGGACGAACCTGACAGCCACACTGTTGGGACCCGAGACCCATTTATCCCTGCCCGGGTCCGGAAAATCTCGAGCACGGTCGAGCTGCCAAAGGAGGCTGGTAAGGGGAGACAGCTCGTATCGACGAAACTCGCTGTCGTTCCACAGTAATTGGCTACCGAGTGTGCGCCTCAGGTTGTCGAGGGCCGAGTCAGCGAGCGCTGGGTTGGCTTGCAGATAGTGCACCAAAATGCCCAGATGGGCATACATCTGGCCGTAGTTGTGGGGCAAGATGGGCCGCACGGTTAGGATGGTGTGAACCGTCGGATGGGCCTGAGACCATGTCGCGGCGAGACGAGCGAGAACGAGGCAAAGGCATGTGATGAACAAGTTGACGTGATCAACTTGTTGCAGTTCCCAGGGCTCGAAAGCAGAAAAAAGGCCCAGTCGTACCCCCTGGTGCTCGCTCGTGTTGCCAATGGCAGCCAACTCGGCGCGGGACCAGGGCCTGGCAGTACGCGTAGCGTCGCGTTTCGAAGGGGCCCAGGCGTTGCTGATGATCTGGCGACGATACAGGGCCCGCACTAGCCGGAGTCTCTCGGTGCGAGAGAGTGGCCGCCGCGCAGGACAGGCTGGATCTGCGGAACCCCGAACCCAAGCCAAGGGGCAATCGTGGCCCAAGAGTGCCGCAGCGTAGAAATCGGCTAGTAGGTTTACTTGGTGGAGAGTGCGGCAGAGCTCCGTCAGCTCCCCAACGCTGGGGATACCCTGGCCTCGGGCGAGCTGCTCAGCGTCGCCGTGACTCCGGAGCATGCTCACGTACGTGGCGGCCTTGGTATGGAGCCAGTCGATGTAGAAATGCCGGGCTCCCGGGTTCAAAGACGGGAAGCCGAACAGGAACCTTGCGTCGGTCAAGACTGGCCCTAACTCATTCTGGAGCACCTTGAAGAGTACCGCCCTCTTTCGTGTCTGGAACAGCCAGTAGGCAAAGCGTGAAGTGGCGACGAAACTGGCGAGGTCGCGGATGGTGTCGACCGCCATGAGGATCTTTTCGAAAAGTTCTGGGGGTAGAGCCCCAAGGTGACAAATCTCCTCCCCTGGAATCATGGGCGACTTGGTTCGGAGCATGCGTCGGTTTTGGTGCCTCAGTTACTTCGTGTCGGGGCATGTGCTGGGTCGGCTACGGAAGCCCAAGGTAAGGTACGGTCGCCGCGGTTGACATTGATGTTTATATACTCGCCTCGACGGGAGGTGCTCAGGCTCTGACGGGCACATTGCGAAAAGTTCATGGGGAAAATCATCGCAATGAAAGGACCTAGCCATCATCCTTCCGTCATATAGGCGCCCAACTTGCATGCTTCGTGGAGGTAGAGTTCAATCTAGTAGTAGGAAGAAGGTACAGTACCTAAATCAGCCGATTGTTGATGCGACATAGAGCTAAGGCCAGGTATTAGAATACACCTGAACCTCAGGTAGGTAGACCTCTTGAAAAACATATTATCAGCCACGAGGCTACTAGACCCTCTCTCAGCACCCTATCCAGAATGATCTACCAAGCAGATCAACATGTAACACAGTACTATGCTGCCCCTGAACTCCGCCCATTACGTCAACCTTGAACCCGCTCACCAGGCATCAATGCCATGACATCATGCCGCGACCTCACATCTCAACTTACATGAACCCACCAAATAACAAACAAGGCCAGCTAGACCTAAGCCCCAATTCATTGAATAGTGAGTTCCGTAACGTTATTCAATATTAAACAGGGAACCATCATTCCAAACACAAACCCAACACTGAAACAACTTCACCGTCCCGCTCAACATGTCTCGCTACTACCGCGAACCCATGACCGAGCACATGGTCACGCACAAGCACGACCTGCGCGACGGGTCCATGAACGAGCCGTCCGGCGGCGAGACGGCCGAGCAGCGCAAGCAAAACACGCCCAAGAAACCTGTCGAAGAAGCATTTCGTCCGTCGCACGTCCTGGGCGGCGAGAAGAATGCGCCTGCGCCCTCGTCGGGGGCGGCAGCAGACCTTGATGGAGCCGGGGAGGGGAGAACGCAGGAGGGGTTGAGGAGGAGCGGGAATACGAGTGAAGGGATTGGAGGGCTGGAGGGTATGGAGAGTAAAATGAGTGGTTGATTCCGTTGTTCATTAAATCTATTCGTATTATCACCTTGAAATCTTCATTCAAGTATCATCTTGTGAGATGGATTGCGTCGTGTACACTTGGTCTTTGCGTTGTTCAAATGCCCTTGCCTATGCTGCAAGACGCTGGAGTTGTGGGCTCAGAAAAGTCTCATACGCCCCGACAAACCCCGGTCTTAAGGCTGAACTGTTAAGATAACCCGAGTTGTGGCTCAAGTTCTAGATTAGTTGTTCACCTCTGGCGGTTACGAGTATCAGCCCGGGAGGTGGTTCAAACCGACTAAGGTATGGACACACAAGCGCACCGCAATCCTCGGATCTACAGGTTTTATAAGCACCTTATTCGTCTATTTCTCACCTTTAACTTATGAGTACAATACTGTAGGTAATAGATCAACATGAAATGATCCAATGTACCATGGAGCCCCTTCTCCCCACCGCGTTCCTATACCACTGAACACGGAGCCCTTAATACTCTGGATATCTCCGGCAAATGAAATAGTCTTCAAAACTCCTTGAACTCATTCCCTTCTTCTGACTTGATGTCTTGCACTAGTTGCAGGCTGGCCCTCTAAGGACGTAGGGTTAGTGCTCAGTAAGTCGGTGCGGGCTTGCTAGAATGTAGAAGGGTTAGGGTACGCTGCGGCCCGCTTGAATCCCAATCCTCTTCTTACCTTGCTCGAGGAAGTGGAGTCGGTGACCAAAACATCGACAAGCCGTCGCTAATTCCACAGGTTCCGTCGCGGACGTATCTCGGTAGCCATCCATCAACGAGATCATTGAGGACGTCTTGATCAACGTAACAGATATATTCGAGGTCAGTCTCCTCAGTTCCAGTTGCTTTTCCCCGCCTGATTTAGGCAGCGGACCCTGCAAGGCAGCACAGGCGGAGCAATCGCGAAGTTCACACAGACTTCAGTTTTCTCTGGGGCCTCTTCGTCCAACGCTTGCCCGAGCCTACGCATTCGGGAAGGGACAACTACACTGCGTATCGTCGTTGAGCTTTAATGATCGTAGCTCTGAGGAAGATTACCTCCTAGCCACGGCGCATCTTCAGAGCCTGAGCCGCCCTTGTGCCCGTCAAAATTTTAACTTGTGAGCTACTCCCGACCAGGCGGCTCGTCGGATACCGGCGGCTTTGAAGCCCAAGAAACCCTTTTGTATTACAGTTTCAAAGTTTTCTAACTCGTCAGCCTAGAAAGTCCGCATCCAAAGGACACTTCTGCCGGATCTCGCGTCCCCGCATCGGAAGACCCTGGCATCACTGCCCCGGACACCGATTCTAGAGCTGCTCCCGACCAGCGTTAACCAAGACATTTCAACTCTATCGGCTCTCCCTTGCACGACAGCGCGGTGATCGTACCTCACGACTGCCTCAGAAGCTCTCCTTGACCAGGTGAAGGCGCTCCTGCTCTGCGTTGGCACCAAAGTCGTTACCCGGTTTCACTGCCGCGTAGCCGGGACTGCCCGATTCCGTGCTGCCGCTCCGACTGTTTCGACGCTTATCTCGCAATGTCTGGTCATCCGTCTTGGCGGCTGCTGCCAGCCGCGGCCCCGGGCATCCCTACACTCCTGGTATCGACTGCTTTCAAGGCTGAATCATACAGCGTACATATCTCGGACCTCGCCAATGTCTGGGTCGAGACCATGGACAGAAGACTCATCATCAAGCGAGGTTTGGTTGAGGACACGAGTATCGACCCGAGCGACAGCGATGACCAGATCCGAAGGATGTTGGAGCTGCTACGGGCCGCACTCGACCCCAGCGATCCCGAACACGCCAACACATCGCTGACGCTCGCCCCGGGTGATGACGTTGACTCCCTCATTGTCCACGTCACCTGTGTGCTGCCAAAGCCACTGAGGCCCTTCAAGTGGCCGTTTCTCCTGAAAAAGTGTCCCCAATCGGCTATTGCATCCGAACTTGTGCTTCCCATGATCCAAGCACACGAGGCCCGCACGCGCGAGATTGATCAGCTTGTCTCTTTCCTCCGGGACAAGGATGCTGTCATCAACAGGCTGCTAGACAAGCTTGAAGCCACCGGCGCCGGTCTCGAGCACGTCTTCTACGCACTCTCCGGGAAGCGCAAGGTTACCAGAGCCGCCGCTGAAAGCAAAGTGAAGGGCCTCGCCCCGTTTTCAGAATCCGACTTTAGGAGCAGAACGGCCGAATTGCATCCTGTCGCACAGTCGTCCGAAGTCTCTGCGCTCCTGAGTTCTGTCTTTGGTGCCTCTGGATTGGAATACAAGTCAGACTTGGAATTGGAGGCATCGGCCATCCTGAACGACTGGTGGACGAAGCTCGCCAAAGGGACAAACGTCATTCTATCGGAACGTTCAGAGAGTAAGGACCCAAAGGCGGTTTCGACGCCCCCGGAGCCCGAGCCCAGCAAGGAGGAGGACGACTTTCAGGTCCAGGCGACCCCAACAGGAGTATGCCCCGCAAGGAAACGTCGCAGCCCTCCACCAGCAGCTGATGATGACGAGACGTCCGATGGCGAGGATGCTGTCAAGTCCGGCGCGCCTTCGCCCTCTCCGGCCATGGCCAAGACATCAGGCGGCAAGCTTGGGGCAATAGGAAGACAGAAAATGCCATCACCTTTTCCTCCGCCCCCGAGCATGTCGCTGAGGTCATCGAAGGAGCAGGTGCCTCCAACTGATGGTCATTCAGAAACAGCCTCCGAAGCCGATGGAAACGACTCGGCCAGCTCCCCTGCTCCACCGTCTCCAAAGCCAACACCTAGACGGGGTGGACTGGGCCGTATTGGGGGCAAAGCGAAGCACGAGACACAAGCCGCCCGATCCACGCGCTCACCGTCTCCGGCACCGCCTCCGGAATTGTCCAGCCAGCTGCCGCGGAGACATAAACTCGGAACCATTGGGAAGAAGGCCGCGAGACCCGGCCCAGATGCATCGGCAAGCAAGAGCGACGATACTAGGGGAAGAAGCAAGACTCCACCCTCCCAACACACCAAGGAGAAGAAACGGGAGACGTCACAGGAACGGGCAGACCGCAAGCGGGCGGAGCTGCAGAAAGAGATAGAGAAGCGCGCCGCTGCCGGGCCGGCGAAGAAGAAGCGGAAGTTTTGAGTATCACCTTTCTAGGGACTCACGAATATTGGAGCACCGCTATGTTGCCAGATTTTCTTACAGCTAACTACTGGGTCAAAACATGAGATGTGTCAACCTGGTTGTACAAGAGACCCTTGCGTTACCACTCCATCGTCATGAACCAGTTGAGACTTTCGAAATCGGAAGCCGATCTCTGACACGACCTCAAATCCGCACACATAGTGGTCTGGGCTACGAGACCGCCGAAGTCCCGGAACAGTACCCGCGCTCTTTGCCGCACAAGGGTTTTTATTTCTATCAGCAGAAGCACAGAGGAGCCGCAAGCACACATTCTCCTAGTGCCACATTTCCACGTCGCGGCGACACCATCACACCAGGCCAAGAGTATTTGTACATTCGCACGAGCAAATCCCGACGTTTAGGATGACCAGGTCTTTGTGGTTGAGCTTCTCAGAACGTCAAAGACGGCCTGCGAATACCTGCCGATGACCCGGTGACCCCCACACGGGACTGTCCCGTCACCACTTCCTAGGATGGTAGTACATGCGATTCTTGTGTCGCCGGCCAGTCAAGTACCATGCGTCCTGCGACTACGCGCCGGCCCATCTGGCTGAACAGAACATGGCATGGGCGTCGTGAGACGCAACATGAAGCCCCGGACAGCGAAACTGCACGATCCCTGGGCTGGTCGAGAGACCAGGTGCTACCGGGCGTCAAGGGTATCGATTCAAAAAGGGAACACGGTCGGGCAGTTAGGAAACCAGCACGAGCGGAAAGGGAAATGGAGAGTGGCCTTCTTGGGACGTCGTCCTCCCAAATGGGAAAACAAATGAACGCGCGGCATGCACCCGGCATGGCAGGAAACGAGCACGGCAGCAAGCGCCGAGTCGATGCGATTTACGGCCGGGGGCCGCGGCGTGATCTGGTGTGACAGCCGATGCTTGGTTCATCTTTGTGAAGGGGAACCGTCTATTCGGTCCCCATGAAGAGAGCGAGGATGGCTGACAACGATCGGAAAGAGAGGGGTGATGCTCTGGAGGGCTAATATGGACCTGGCAATGCAACCGGCGAAATCAGACGTAGCAGAGACAGATCCAGCGTATGGCTGGTGTCCTACTGTCAGATACAATTAAGAAGGAAACTACCCCTTTGGTCTGCTGGCCAGACCAGTCCCGACTCCCTACACAATGGGCAACCTAGCGTGAGGACTGGCTGGATGCATAGCGGAAAGCGAGGGTCCCTTGACATCTCGCAGTCCTTGGCGGACTGCGTCCCCTCGCCGAAGAGTCTCTTTGCACTTCAGTCTCGATTTGGGAGAAGATAAGCGCCTGCGGGTGAAAAGCTACCGGAGATGGGCTCGACTCTACCATGGGCGCTGCCACCGCACACTTGATATCCGGGCCGCAGAGAAACGCGCCCGAAACATTGAGGGCTTTGCCATTTCAGCTCCATCCGCCGAACAGAAGAGGCTGCCGCCGCCGGTTATCACATCGGAAGAAGGAGCATGTGACCCGGGAGATCATCGGATTAGCCGCATGGGATCAACACGGCCTCCTTCCCGTTCAGCGTCCTCGGCAGCTTGGCCGTGCACCTCTGACGCTGCCGTGGCGGGATGTCTTTTTGTGAGACTTTCGTCGAGTCCTCTCCAGCTGTACTGCGCCGGCTTTTCAGAAGTCCACTGAGCATCTCTACCGTTGCGGCCGACAGCTGCTGGTTGTGGTCTCGAGCAGAGGGCCTATCTCCTTCAGAAGCTCCTCTGTCAGCAATCTTCACTCTTTTGAGGGGTGCTTCATTGTGGCCGCCTTACGCTGGTCGAGGATATCCTCCCTGAGGCTCCGACCCCATCAGACGGGACCCAAATCTCGGGCAACCGCTTCCACAGCATCAACTTCTGACAGGTCACCGGCAGCCTGCAGATTCAATCTCTCCCTGGCATGATTTGATCCATTCCCGCTTGTCAGACTGCATCACATCACAGTGAAGTGAAACGACGAGGAAGAACAGACAGGTCGAACACAAGAAGCCCCATGATATGGCTGTCTGAGGCGACGATCGAATCAAAACCCAACGGCATGCGCATAGTCCTTCCGGTTCTAGTCTTTGGCTTTTCCTGTTTGTCTCAGACACACAGCCTGAGACAGGTGTAATCACCTCCCCTCAACACCTTTCGGCAAGAATTCGGCCGCGGTGTTGTCTTTGAAAACGAATAGCCCCCCCCACGTGGCGCCTGGATTCCGGCGGACGGCAGCGCCCCGGGACAGCAGCCCGGCGGGCACCACGGATCGGGCGCCTGCATGGTGCTACTGCACCTGAATCGGGTATTGGACGTCTGGGTCTACAGGGCGGGGCTGTGATTGAGAAGCTCACGCAGCGAAGTCGGCCCGTCGACAACGATCGTCGGCTGGGCCCCGCGGTTGCAAGTGAGTGCCCCGGCTGCGGCATGCGGCCTACCGGACGCCGCGGACGGTTTTTTTGGGCAATAGGGAGCGGGGTGTGGCATTCAAGTTGCAAGATTGACAGGGGGCTGAATTTGAGTTGCTGACGGCAGTTGAGGCTTTCAATGCGACGCTAAAGCGTGGGAATGATTGAGTCGTCTGGTAGTGCAGTGGCTTGCCTTTACTTGCCCTGTTGTGCGAGTTGAGGGAAGCAGACGTTTACGGATCGTTCAGACCTGTCGCGTACAGACATGCACAAACCAGATTGAATTCGTTCGCCAGGCTGCATGGAGACAGGGAGAGATTGGGGAGATGCGTTAAGAGTGGGTCAACTGTCGGAGCAGACACTCCTTGCCTTTCTCGACGGCAACGGCACTGTCCTTTGGTTTTCAGAGCAGCACTGTTCGCGATGCATTCCGTTTCAACTATCGGCCCGAGGGGTTGAAGTCCTCATTTCGGTGCCGGAGTTGGCTCAACCCACCCGATGATGTGACCGTCGTCAGAAGAACCACGTCATTGGCAAATGCTAGACGTGAAGTCCGGCCTGCAGCCCAGTTCGAGTCTGGACTCGTCTTTGCAGGTTGAGTTGCAACAGCGATCAACTGATGCCACGGTCGCCCGCAAGATGCCAGACAACAGACATCATGGTTCGTCGAGGACATTGCATTAGCCCGATCCCCGGGTACCAGTTGACCAAGCCGATCCAATCTCGATCGGGTGGCATACGCCACGGCGATCGGCGGTCAGAGGGGTGTGATTCGTTCAGCTTACCGTACCCGCAGGAGCCCTGTGTGGGCTGTTGGGACCGGGACCAGTCGAGTTGTATGCATTTGTCGGGGACGTCCGTTCCTCAATGGGACAAGAAACAGAGCATGTCACAACTATGTAAAAAATTATCGAGAGGCTTCTCAACCAATACCCGGTTGAAAGCGCGGTTCCGGCAGAGAGAGGAAAGTCATGCACTGCATAAGATGGGCTTGGAGTCGAACCACATACTTCAAACTGCGAACGATTAAAGGCGGCCACTGCGCCTTTTGGGCCGGTTGGCTTCGCACCACTTGTGGCACATGCCAACCGCAGCCAACTGCGAACGAGTTCATTACCCCTCCTCAATTGGCCAACCATCGTCTGGCCCAACTCAGCCTTGCAGACAGTGCGGGGGTCCCCGCGCGCAAGAATGCACTTCTTGCCATGGGTACTCCCGGGCATCGCACTGCCTAAATAGTCTCACCAGCTTCAAACTCAGGGTCTCGATGTCGAAATTGGCGCGAGCCACAGCGGCCTAACCAACCTTGCCATGTTCGGACCACTTGTCGGATGTGTTTTAGCCCTGCGGGCTAGTCAACAACGTGACATCAAGGCGAGGTTCTTCCCCCTTGTCAAGTCACTTCTGACATTAACTTCTCCGTGCACATGCTCTTTCGCTCCTCTCGCCATGAGATCGGCTCCGATGAATATGTCAGCTATCAAGTCTCCGGTAGTTATCGGAACCCCAAGAGGCCCAGCTCGCGAACTGTCGACCTCAGCACGAGCAGCGCAATCCCAAAAGTCTGAGATGGCCGGATCGTTGGAGCCATATAGCTGGTGTTGGTGTCGCAAAAGAGACTGAAGAGAAACGCAACGCGGCGCTTATGATCGGACGTTGTTGGTATTTTGTCGTCCATAAACCCAACAGTCGGTTGGCGACAAACCTGAAGTGTTCGAGAAACATGCACCGACTCCTAGTCAATGCATGGCATTCGGAATGCTTTGAATGCATGGAAGGTCTAAGACATACGGCTACAGCGCTGACAACATGAGTTTCACTGTGTACGCCGCCGGTCATTGGGGTCGTTTGAAGTTTTTTAATGCGTCATGCTTGCGGAAACATCAATGTGGTCCGGATATAGTGGAGCTCACTCGGTGGTTGCGGGCTTACTCGGGGCCGAGCGGGAGCGCGCCACGGGCGGCTCTCTCTCGACGACGCCGGTAGTGGCATGGTTTAAAACCAATGTCGGCAGGGCCCTGCATACGTACCTCATTAAGATGGAGTCTTTGGACGCTCTCCAACAAGGCAGTTGAAGCCTGCATGGGGCTTTACTCGAATCGGCGCAAGGCTGTGTGTGTGTTACCACCCAGGAGCTGACTCGCTCCGGGCATTCCACAGGCCCGAAAAGGAACGGCCTTTGCCCGGGCCGGAACTCTTCAAAGACGGTTCAGCTCCCAACGGTCCAGCCGCAGGGTTGCCAAACCAGGTGGCACAGCATTGTTTCAGGGTGCTGCTAATCAAAGAATCTGATGACACAGCCACAGTCCTCTTAACCTCGGCCGCATCTGGACGATTCCTGAAGACGGGGGGACAACCCACACTGAGAATAGCACCCACAACGAAGAACAATCGACAGCCACCCAATTGCTTTGGCTTGATGCTAGCGCGTCCTGTTTTTCTAGGCTCCTTATCGAACGGTGCATCGTGTCGCGGCCCCAGTTCCCGTTGCGCATCTGATGCGAGATGTCGGAGATCTGAGTTGTAGATGGCGCTGTGCGGTCGAAATGTTCCGGCTAGAGCTTGGGTGCCATTCATCAGCCTTCAGGCAGACGGTGCAGAAAGTGGAACTGAGAGACAACTGTGGTAGGAGGGTGCCGTGGTATTGCTCAGCGGAAAGCGTTGTCGCGAATTGTCGGCATCTTGCCATTCGAGCGTTGGTTCAAACCCTCCAAAGAGGCCCTGAAACGCTGCATTCATGTTCAATCTTCATGGAGACCGAATGATGGATATCCACCTTACATGACAAAAATAGTCCGCTCTGCCGGAGAGACTGGAGTAAGGATTTCTGCAAGCCAGATTTTGTCTTGACACAATTGACGTCGCACAGAAGCAAAGAGTGCATGTGTGCAGTTTGCGCTGTTAAAAGACCTGATTCAGCATTCGCAGCGTTCGGCAGGGACCAACCACTGCAGCGTCGTAGTGCAGACCTTACCCCGCCATTTCCATCGAGATCGAAGCAGCCACGATTCGACACCGGCATTGTCCTGCATCGGCCCTTCTGATTGGACTCACCGCCTTACCTTCCCGAAACTGGCCGGCAATGGGCCGCAGCGATGCCGGTTCCAGCTTCGATGCCAAACTTAATCACCTTAATCCGTAGGTACAGTACTAATTGCCGCGCTGTGCCGGCAGCCGCGCTTAAATGGAACCTTCAACCAGTCACATCAACATGAAAGATGACGGCTTCTCGATCCCAGCAGGATAGCATCATAAACTCATGACAGCGACACGGGGCGCTGCTACGGACTCGTCGAGACAGGGCAAAACTCTACCGCAGACAACTCAGGAGAGCCATTACGATAACGTTATCCGTCACTCATCACACATCACATCTAGCCAGTCGCGGCTTGAATCTGCTCTCCGCGGCCAACGACCGTCGCGGCCACCCGCCAGGCGAATCACGCTCCGCATTTGCCAGGTGTGGCGTGTCCATGGCGTCGAACTAAAGGTCTGATGCCGCTTTCGGTGCTTGGCACTGAGCAAGAAGTTGAGGAGAGAACTTGGTCTGGATGGTGATCTTAGATGTCGTAGGGGGGCCCGGCACCAGCCGGTTGTGTTAACTTTGTTCAGGTGCGCCAAGGCTGTCCGTCTGCCTGACCGCTCTGCGGCTGGAGCTTGTTTCGTTGCCAAACCTTGGGAGGGAGTCCCCGTTTCTGCACTTGCGTGGCGTGGGCCGTTCTTCAACACCCTCTCAGCTTTCTATTTCAGGTAATACAAGACCAAATTGGAATCGGCATGCCAGGCAACTCCCAAGGACAAAGAGTTGAAACAAGTCTCTATGAACCTGCCCTGAAACGTGTAAGGTATTAACGGCCGACTGGAGACTGAGACACCACTCAGTGTTGCATGCTGTGGCCTCCCGATACCCGGGCCGCGGGGCGCCATCAAAAGCTGCGAGTCACTGCCAAAGGACCCAAGTCGCACCCGCGTCCTTTGTTCTCGACTCGAGATTTCCCAGGATGAGATTTGTACATACCTACTACTCCGTAGTAACTATGTATCACTCGACAGGCGACGATTGTCGGGGCTCAGCACAGGCTGCCAAGACACGCTGCGCAAGAAGCCAACTGAGCCAAGAAGTCGCCGTTGAGCCAGGACAAAGTGACAGAACCCAATATCTTTCTTTTTGTCTTGATTCGTCAGGGATCTCCAGCGGAGAAGAGCGCCCAGCTCTGTGGTCCCCTCACCCGTGATCCGACCATTTTTTTCGCCAGGCCTCAAGAACTCCCATTACCAGTTGCAAGGGGGATTCCTTCCACAACCAAGAGGCAGAGCTCTTCCATTGCGTCCCAGCCGACAGAAAGCGCAATTTTCAGAAGCTTCCAGTCTACTTAGGAAAAGTACCCAAAAATGTAAACGTACCGTAGTGTACAGTCACAGAAACGACAACCAGCCAACCACAGAAACCATAATAACCAGAAAACAACAACCAACCCAACCCCACCCCGCCCATCAAAGTCATTATCATTATTCGCCGTGCCCATCCACTCGTCTAAAGACCAGCAGCAGCTCACTAGTGACCAATACCGTACACACCATCAAGTTGATACCCATCCAGATGCTGCTGCTGCTGCTGCTCCCCACCACCACCACCACCACCACCACAAACCGCCATCCCATCCATCTCCTGTTTCACCACCATCTCATTAACCCCAACGGGAAGCACACCTGTCGTAGTAGTAGAACCCACCCACCCCGGATGATGATGAAGCGGCCCGACAACACCTTCCATGCTGTCATCGTCATACACGCCCACCACCTGCGGCAGCACTGTCACCGCTGCAGCAGCAGCATTTTGTTGATGATGAGGATGGAAATAAGCGTGATAACCAGTGTAGTGGTACTGATCCCCCTGACCGCCATCCATCATGAGACCGCCGTCACCGCCGACTTTTGCTGCGTAAGGAACTGCGTGCAGCGACTCCGGGGTGACGGGCTCGTTGTCGGCGGCGCAGGGCTCGCTTGATGTGCTGCGTACCATAGACATGGACGAGGAGGAAGTACCGGGGGGAAAGAGTTGCGGGTCGGGGTAGTCGTACTCAATGCCGGTGTTGGTGGTGTTAGTTGGGCTGTTGTAGTGCTGGCGGGGGAAGAAGGAGGGTGGGGCGGTGTGGGGGGCCGGCGATACCGAGGAGACAGGGTTATTGATGACGAGGTGGTGTTGGTGGATGCCGTGGCTGATGTAGGGTGAGCTTCGGTGCGGGGATAAGAGGTAGGACTGCTGCTGCTGGCGCATCGAGGTGCTGCTGTTGCTGCGCAGGGTCTGGCTGCGGGCGCCGCGCAGCACCCGGCTGCTGCCATGTCCCTGTCCCCTTTTGCTGAACGAGTGGTGGTGGTGGTGTTGGTGGTGGCGGGCGGGGTAGCTCCGGTAGACGCGCGAATGGAGCCCGTGGCTTGCGGCGCTGCGGCGGGATTGGTTGCCCTTGCGGTAGCGGGTGGTGCTCTGCACGCCGGCGATCGCCCACGGTTCGAGATACCATTCGGTCGACTTCTTGCCGTCGGTCTGGCTTGCGTCGCCGTCCTTGGCAGCGCTGGGTCTGCGCTCGCGCTTGGTGAAGGCCTGGGAGATCCCTGTTAGAAGATGCAGGCAGGCCATGGCTTGCGGCTGACATACCTGATTCATGCTCAAGTTGTGCCGGATGCTGTTCTGCCAGCCCTTAGTATCATCCTTGCCCTTGTCAGTGTTCTCGCGGAACCACTGATAGATCTCTTGAAGGGTCATGGCATGTCGCGGGGTGCTCAAGAAGGCCTTGTAGATGAGTTGAGCGTAGGGCTCCTCCTGCTTTGTTGAACCATCGGCTTGCACGTGCGAGAGGCTTGGGCTTCTTTTCCTGGTCCGCGTGCGAGCATCCTCCATGCCGACCAGCGTCTCGGCCTGACTCTTCACATCGTCGCCGGGAGAGTCCGAAGCGCCGTTCTCCATTGAGAACCGAGGTGCCGTGCTGCAAGGTGACAACGGACGGCCGCTCTCAGGAGACGCAGGATACCCGTCTTGCGACAACGTGTGGTAGCCTGCAGGATATGGCTCGGTTTGACTGCGTGCCCGCTGCCATTCCTCTTGTCCGTTGAGGCCCTGGGCCTGGAGGAGGGATGCATCGGCCGGAAATGATGTTGGGATGTTGTAGCCGCTGTCAGGGAGCTGATAACTGGAAAGCTGGGGATCCAAGCCGCGGTAGCGGTTCTGCACTTGCTCAGTCGCTGCTTCCCAAGGCGTCGGGCCCAGTTGCTCTGGCGAGTCCCATATGCGAGGTGAAGACTGCTCCGAGCTGGTTTGTTGCAAACTGCTGACGGTTGGAGAGGTGTGCAGCGTGTAGTGCTCGAACTCATCGTTGCTTGTCTGCGATCCGAGGCAACTGCTCCATAGACTTGAGGCGTAGGCGCCCTGGCAATCGCCATCATGGCTCCGTAGCGCACTCAAGCCCGCAACCAACTGGTGCTCAGCCTGGGATGGATTGGGGGGGGGGCAAGATGGAGCCATCTGTTGAGGGGGCGAGGCGTAGGCGTTCCCCATGCTGCAGAGCGTTGACATGTGTTGAAGTAACGGCGATGTGTAGTAGTGTCCTGGGAGAAGAGGCGGCTTGATAGCGAGTTGAGTTCGTGCCCGAGGTTGCAGACGCTGGAAACGGCGACAACACAGTGGGCTCCCTTGTTCGACTGAGCGAGGACAAAGACGTGTGAAGGCGACAATGGTCCGAGATGTGCGAATATGAGGACAAGACGAGTTTGATGCGCCAGAGATCTCACGCCGGAAATTGAGGTGGCCAGAGAGAAGTAGTCCCAGATCGGAGCCAGGCCTGGTGGTCAGTTGGCCGGAGAATGGGCCTGTCTTCAACGGGGAGTTATCTGGTGGATGTACTCAAGCCGGATAAGGCGATCCTCAGAGCAGGGGTGCGGCAGACTGGCCTTGTAGCCCGGTACCTTCAGTAACCCGGGGACCAGGGGTGTAAAGGCCGCTTCCCCGGGAAGCGACAAGAGGGCTGGAGCAAGACGAAGTAACGGGGTAGGTACAAGGTTGAGGGATGCCAGCGCGTTGCATGGTACTGCGCATCTACATGGGCACCCTGGAGAAGGCAACATGCCTAATTTGTACCACCCCTGTGCGTGGGGAGGAGAGGGTTCGGCAGGATGCTGCTGTTGCGCGAGATGGGCGAGGTACCAGCCATGTACTGCTTTCTCTTGTTAACGATGGCGGGTTGTGTACACCGTGTGGTTGCGTGCTTGTGCTTGTACCTGGGGCTGCGAGTGTGCTAAAAAGAGCCGGATGCAAACGCAGATGGGGGCTTGTGGCTGGTCTAGGCATTCCAGGGATTCAGAAGACGCCCGGGTGTTGATGTGATGGTCGGACGGCTGAGGGGTGGGCTGGCCAGCCTCGCCAGCCATCGGTACCGGTACACAGTAGGAATATGGCGTCCTCACAGGGTGTGCTGCGGCGACAAGCCCCAAGATGGACAGGAATGACAAGTGAAGAGGTTCTAACATGGATTGCCCTGTCCCTGGTCCTGCAGCTGGATCTTCCGAAAAAAAAGCTTGCGCACCAACCCGGCATAGTTGGTAGGGCAAGCAGGAATCCGTCAGTGAGAGAGAGCGGTGACGGCTCGACAAGTTGAAAACAAGTACATTGTGCCATGCAGCTTGTCGAGCTCGGCCTCTGCCTCCGGAGTTCTGCCCCCGTTGTTCGCATGGCCGTGTCCGCCAGTCTGTTGCATCGAGACGACCGACGCTTGCGAAGACAGAGCAGAACTGGCGGGAAACCCAGAGAAAAGTCTGCCGGAAAGGTGCATGTCGCCAATACCATATGCCTGAAGAGGCCAATCATGACCTCTAGGCAAAATACATGCTGGGAGAGTTGGTTGGCCACCACCAACGGCGATGCAACGCCTAGCCTTCAAACGGCATACCGCACCGTGCGGTCTGGCAGCAATATCTGGGGGATCTGGACTGCAGAAGTCGTGTTGCATTCTAGAAGGCCAGTCGAAACATGCAGCTTCAGCATTTGCGTCGCGGCCTTGGTGCTTGCCGCGAGGCAAGCAGCAGCGAGCCGTCCGCGATGCCCAAGAACGTGGATGGAAGACCTGGTGACTTGCAGGCAAGCACAGGGACGTGTCAGCAACACTGTCTGAATTCTCACCAGGACAACGTTCTTGTCCCTCCCCGTACGACTTGGCAGAACACCACCTCCATAAACGAGAGCCATGCGCAGCGGCCTGCTGTCGAGTCGACAAGCCGAACGGCGATCTGGTCCGGCGGGGATAAGAGTTGCGCGATCATGTTGCACGCCGCGGGTCCGGGAGAAGACAGCATGTTCTCACATCTTGCGGAACAGGCCCGGCGGAGACAGAGATAATGGCCGGTATGATGACCTGGTCAGGGCAGGGTGTCACACAACCAAGGCAAGGCTGGACATTGTGCGCTCCTCAGCTCTCATTAATTCGTCCTGTGCTCCGTCGGCAGTGGGTCCATCCGCTGCAGTATCGGCAAAGATCACACACGTACATCGGCCGGCTCCCCAGTGAGCTGGCTTCTAGTACGGGCCGGTGTCGCCTTGGTCGGTCAATTCAACACTTTGAGCGCCGGCCGCTCCCAAGCTCCGTCTCCGAGATAGAGCAATGCAGTGCCGGGACCGAGGGGCCCTGAAACGGGGAGGCATCTTACTTCCGGTAATAGATCTGCATGTGTGGTTAGTCTCTGGTTTGTATTCGTGGCGCACCCCTTGCCAGGACAGTCACATACCTTCTTGAACTGGAAGTGCAGCTGCAGAATGCCCTGTAAACCACCAGTCAGCTGCTTGCTTCAGCCAAAGCAAGGGGAGTCCAAATCAAGACGCGGCATGCAAGCAATGGGCGCAGTCGTGAGAGACATGCGGCGATTGACGCGCATTGGCAGGGAGAGAGAGGAAGGACGGGCCGCGGCCTGGGACCGAGACATGCAACCCCCGCGATCGTCAAGTCATTTTAGGGGCACAGCAGCATCAAAAGGAAGAAAGCACGTGTTTTGGACATACCTTGTCGAAACTGCTCTTGAACCCGCGTTCCTTCTTCGCGCTGTAATCCCACTCCCGATCCACGATCCGGAAGGCAATGTCTTCGTATGGCGGCCCGGCGATGAAACGGATAAGGCAAGTGTCCTCCTTGCCGGCGGGGGCAAATGACTCGCCCTTTCGGCGACCGTGTTCGCGGATGATCTTGAAGGTCGGCGCCTTGGTCTTGTCGATGAGGTCCGGGTAAAAGATGTTGAAGCGATAGCCCTGGACCACCTTGGGTGGCGGGTTGTCGTGGTCATAGTGCGTCTGGTTGTACTTGTTCCACTCGTATCCCATCAGCACGCGGTTGAAGTAGCGCGGCTTCCGCGGTCTGTACTTGTCGGCCCAGAGAGGTCTCTGGATTCCCGGGACGGCCTCTTCCGCCGTGAAGATCTCCTCGCCTTCGCTGACGCCACGGGCTACCTCGCGGTCGTACAATGCCTTGGTCGCCAGAGAAAAGTCCTCATTCCCAGCCGACGCAAAGCGGGCGGTTCCCAGCGGTGCGGCGCTGGAACTCGTCTGGGTGACAGCTGTCGAGGCGGCCGATCGGACCATCGGCTTGGTGGGGGCCGGGGAGAGTTGGGGAACGGTGGCGGAGAATCCCCCGGATTCTTCCAGGGCCTTGGCTCTTTCCGGGTCCCGCTTCCGAAGGATCCCGACTCTGGCCTCCTTTATGGCTGCGCACACCTTCTTGAGTCTTGCCTTTGCCTTGTAGACGAGCAGGCTTTTAAGAAGCGCCTCCCAATAGTCCGTGTCGATTGGCTCGTTCGACTGCAGCTTGGCCTTTATCTGCTTTTCCAGGGCCTCCAGCTGCTCGAGCGTCTTTGGGCTGAGGATCCGGTCGACGTCTGAGGCTACCGAAGTCACTGCTCGTCCCTCGGGGCCCTGGGGCTTCCGCTTCTGGCGATGGTCAAGGCAGAGGGCGAGCAGCGCTGTCCAGTACTCCTTGTTCGTGGCGTTGGCTTCGAGCGTGTGATATGACCGGATGTCCTCCTCCAGCTCCTTCAGCTGGGCATCATTCAGGCTCTGCAGCACGGCTTCTGGGGCGGGCAAGTCAATTTCGACGTCGCCGTCGTCGTCATCGAAGGCGTCGCGATCCAAATCAATGAAGCGGAGGCCAAAAGCCAGGTAGTCGATGGGCTTCGCGCGCTGCTCCCTAACGCGGATGTCGGCCTTCTTCTTTGCCTGCTTCAACACGAACTTGTCCTCGTCGGCGACAAACTGCTCAGACTGCTGGTCCTGTGTGAGATATCTGCTCGCAGCGTTTGCCACGTTGCCGTTTGCAGGCAACTGGCGGGAGGGTTTCGCAATTCGGTTCGACGGATCGTAGCGAGGCGCGGTGACGTCTCGGCCTCGATCCGTTCGCGGCGACTTGGAACCGTTGATCATCGCTTGTCTGCCTGGATCCATCGTGATGTGGTGAATGCACTTTCTCGTGCAAAAAAGGCGATGCACGTTTGATGCTGCAATTTTGCTACCGCTGCATTGGAATGTCACCTAGAGTTGGAAGTTCAGGTTGCAACGCCAGAACCATCCATGAATCAGCATCCAATCTTGGCCCCTCCCAGCGGTCTTTCCGGATCCCTGGTCGGTGCAGTAGAGCGGGGCGATTAGGTTAGCGTGGACTGCAGCCAATGCGATAGTAGCTCCAGGCCTGGGCTCCGAAACTTGGCATCGATCCATCACTCCACTGCATCCAGATGGACTGGATGGAACTCACATCATCTCTAAGGTACTCAACAACAAAACAGTGAACAGCGTCCGCCTGCGCGCGCATTCCCATATTTGGCGATGGTGTGATAGAATGCCGCCATAAGCTGGAGGAAACAGAACGCCAGCAAAACGATGCCATGAATAGCATCGGCATCAGCCACCAGGGCAGCATCATGCGCAGGCTGCTGGGCAACCGAACGGCACCCGACTCGGCCCACGACACAGGAGCCTCCGCATCCGTCACCAGCTCGCCGCTTGCGCCCCATTACCGCCCGACTGCATCGCAGGATGTCATCTACACCGCCAGTGTTCCCATAACATGCCTGGACAGTTCTCCTGATGGCCGTTCTGCCGTGCTAGCCGGCCGCCACGTGCTCAAGACGGTCGTCTTTGATGGCCTCACAGTCAAGGACGGCATCGACCTGCGCGCCCTGCTCATCGCCCAGCCATCGCAGCGCAACAGCATCCCAGTCTCGGTCGCCGACCAGCTCTCCATCAAGGCTGTGAGATGGGGACAGCCGCAGGGCAAGCAAGCCCTCTTCACGGCCGGCACCAGCGGCAAGATCTTCCAGTACGACCTGGTGCGTGCCGGGTCCACAGCCCTTGGCTCGCCGGTCGACTGTGTCCAGATCCGGGAAGACTCACGCCAGGTCAACGCGCTCGACCTCAACCCGCACCGGAACTCGTGGCTCCTGTCGGGCAGCCAGGACGGCATCGTGCGCTGCTTCGATGTCCGACAGCCCACCCAGACCCGCGCCGGCGCCACCTTCCGCTCCATCCAGGCCTTCAAGTGCAACGCCGACGGCGTGCGCCATGTACAGTGGAACCCCAAGGATGGTTTCATCTTTGCCTGCGGTACCGAGCAGGGTTTCGTGTCCAAGTGGGACATGCGCAAGCCCAGCGCGCCAATCCTGCGCATCAACGCCCACGAGAAAACGTGTACCGCCATGGCTTGGCACCTGGACGGCGTCCATCTCGTCAGCGCGGGGCTCGACAGCAAATGCAACATCTGGGACTTGTCCAAGCAGGACAAGCGCCAGAAGCCGAAGTGGACCCTCTCGATCCCGGCCCCTGCCGGCACGCTTGCCTGGCGTCCCGGTCAGTGGTCTGCCACGGCCCAGGGGAAACGGGCCTCGCAGCTCGCCGTGTCATACGACGAGAGCGGCCAGAGGCGCTACGGAATGAACATGGTACACATTTGGGACCTTGCACGGCCCACCATGCCCTACAAGGAGATCCAGCGGTTTGACACGTCGCCCAGCGCCATGCTCTGGCACGACCAGTACCTCCTGTGGACGGCGGGGCAGGACGGCGTCTTCAGCCAATGCGACGTCTCGTTCGCACCAAAGGTCATTGACCGCCAGGCTGTGTCGACCATGGCCTTCTCCCCCCGGGGTGACGTGCTCATGCTGCTGGACGAGCGAGCCCCGCCACGTCGGCCGCGGCCACACATTTTGCACCACGACGCCGTCGCACTGCCGTCTTATAGCTCGAGCCCCACAACCCCCAAGGTCAGCGTCAGCCGGAGCGATTCAGAAGACGACGCTATCGGAAGCTTCATAGGTCCCAACAGGCGCGGCAGCCGGCGGCGACGCCCTAGCACCCGCTCCACAGCCACACTCAGTACCACACCGCCCGTGGGTCCGGGACTGGAGGACGTCATGTCGCTCGAGCAAACCATCAAGGCGACTGGGCCCTATAGGCCTCAGCAGGCCATGGCCGTTGGTCACGTTCCCGCCGCTGCCAACGTAGACGTGTACGGATACCTGGCCGTGAACTACCTCGAAGCGCTGCACAGGGACCTCCCTTATTCACCCGGTGCTGGCCCCCTGCCGAATCGGATTGCTACGATTCTTGAGCACTACGCCAGGGCTACCGCAAATGTGCGGCAATTTCGGCTCGCGCAAACCTGGCGCATCCTTGCGTATGCCGTCGAGATGCTGCTTCATCGGCGGGCCCAGTATCACCTTGACCGCCGGATGGACCGCCACCACTTCTCGGCCAGGAGGAAGAGCGAGGCCAAGGCCAAAGGGAAGGCAAAGGCCCTAGCGGGGCTGTTTGCAGCGCCGACGCCGTCGGTACTCGACGGGGAGGAAACGCCGCGCAAGGTTTCGTCGCTTGCAAGTTTTGACAGAAGCCTGCACCCAAGGTCACTCCTCTCTGAGGAGCTCGAGAGCACCTCCAACGTTCCCACGCCAGTTGCTCGGCCAGTGTCGGACGACCCGGGCGTGACATGTTCGGCTGAGAGAGAACAGGGTAGGAAGCTCACTCCCATCGTTGAACCGGAGAGCTTCACTCTCCCCCCCGCGGTGCATCCCCCTTCACTGGTCACGCGCAAGCGCCTCGATTCGGTACCGCTCTCGGTTGCGAGCCACGACAGCGGACTTACCCATGCTAGCACGGAGGGATACGACTTCTACGACACTGAAGCAATGGGCAGGGCAATCGACGTCCCCAGCCCAAGATCCACTTCGATTCGGGTGCACGATTACCAGGCCACGGGGTCCCCGAGTACGCGGAGAAAACCCGTGATGAGACAAAACTCTGATGACAGCTATGTCCACCTCTTTTCTACCTCGGACGAGAGTCGTCGGCGAGCCACAGGTCTGGACACGTCTTCCGACGGCAGCTTGACTGGCCAGGCTGCAAGGGCGGCTATTCTTGCCGAGCTTCGAAGCGGCAATGAAGAAGAGTTCGACAGCCGCGTAAGGGGCCAGGCACTCAACAAGTCGTCGCCAGAACGCAATCATGTCCCGTCCAATCGCACGATGCTCGCCAGAACCGAGACGGATATGACGGCATTTACCGATGAGCATCACGCCATCACGCAAACCACAACCGACAGCTTCGAATCGGGCTTTCCATCACAAACCGATGCCGACTTTGCGGTCGAGTCGCCGTTAAAGCAGCCACCCTCTCCTGAATCTCCCATCTCCCTTGGCAACGACCAATCACCCTTCATTGTCGAGACGGACTACCTCTGCTGGTCTGACGACCTGCCATACCCCTACCCGATCGATCCGTCCTCGGGCTTTTCCGTCGTCTCATCCACCCCTCTCCAACCCTACGCCCTCATAGCTCGCGCGCTCGCCTTCGAAGCCAAGTCCTCAGCTCTCAACGCCTCAGCCATCATCCTCCTACTCAAACCGCTCCTCCCAGACGAGGTCATCGACTACAACCAAGCCGCCGCCATCCTCCGCCAGCACCACGCCCGGCTGATGAGCATGAAGCTCTTTGCTGAGGCCGCCCTCCTCCGCAAGCTCTGCATGAAGGGCTGGCCCGGCGGCGCCCTCCTCTCCTGGGGCGAGAACTACCCGGCCATCTTCTCCCCGGCGCACGAGGGCGTCCAGGCGAGCCTTGTCTGCACCGCCTGTCACAAGCCGCGCGACGTGGGCCGCTCGGCCGCGTCAACCGACTCGGTCTGGCATTGCGAGCGGTGCAAGGCGGTCATGGCACCGTGTGCGGTCTGTGGGGAGCGCGATACCGCGCCGACCATTCCTACGTCTATGATCACAGCTGGAGGAGGAGAAGAAAACACCACCAGAGAACCGGTCTTGACGACGTGGTGGTACTGTCCCGGCTGCGGCCACGGAGGCCACTCGTCCTGTCTGGCAGCGTGGCATGCCGCGCTCGAACAATCGCCCAGCGGCGGCGGCGAGTATCCTCGTCATCATCATCCCCTGGAGGATGCCCCCGGCGCCGCCGAGTCGAGCGACGGGTGTTGTCCGCTGGATGGGTGCGGCCACGTGTGCTTGCCGAGCAAGGAGAATCATGGGATGATGCTCCGGACGGAGGAGGTCAGTCGCGTCGTGAGGGAGGCGACGAGGGCGGTGGCTAAGGCGACGGTTGCTGCGGCCGCTGCGGCGGCCGCTGTCGCTGCTGAGGGGAGGGGCGCTGAGAATGCTACCGAGGTCGGCGGGACTGGAGCGGGCCACGACGGGTTTCCGAGGCATGTTGGGGAGGAACATCATCAGCAGCAGCAAAGTGATTTTGGTGGTGTTGGTGGTGGAGGGGTTGTAATGGTTGGAAACTTCGGGAAGCATGGCGGTGGTCACGGTGCCGCTGTCAGGAGTGACGGTAATGATATCCCTCAGAGCAGGGCGGTCGAGACGGTCAGGGAGACGTTGGCCGGGTCGGGAAGTTCGGCAAGGGCGGGGACGGGGATACTCAGCTCGAGTCCCGGTCGGGGCGGGATTGGGGCCGAGAGGGAAAGGCGGAAGAGCGTCAAGTTTGTGGCGACTGACGAGAGGCGGTGATGTGTCACGTATTGGGCAGCCTCTGCTGAGGGTCAGGTGTCTTCCTTGGGCTGTGGCCGGGTGGTGTTCGTCGTATACCTGCTTTTTTGGTGTCTGCTTCGCGTTCAATGTGTTCTTGCAGAAGTTTGAGGCAGTCTCGAAGGGCCCTATTCCGGATGGGGTTCTAAACCACTGAGATTTCACAGCCCAAGCTAGAGTCTCGTTGTTCATCATGAACCTTGACCGTCAAACCGTCTTGCATCATGAAACCGATCCTGCCAAGTCGCGATTTCACAATCTGCTCGACTTCTCGGGCGCTTTGAACTTTTGGGCATTGTGACAGGACATCGGATACGTTTTGAACGTTCCAAACTCTTCGTCTCTTCGCCCGGGCACCACGCGGCTCCGCCCGAGTTGCTAAGCTCCGAGGGCGCTCGGGACAAAGCGCCCCTATGTAACCTGCCGCACTTTGTTTTGCTAGCTGCCTCGCCATAGCCGCACCTCGTCGGCTCAAATGGTCTCAGAACTAGCGGCCTTTTGCAGGGCGAGACCCGGGCTGCGTCGGACGTTGCCTTTGGCTCTTGCAATGCCGTCTGGTTCCGACTTCAGAACCTCCGGCATGTTTGGGAGCCGGACAGGTATAAAGTGACCTTTCAGTCCTCCTTTTCCGTTCTGCATCGAGAGCACCAATTCATTCAACTCCAACAGACCAAACAAACCTCCTTTTGCAGAACAACAGCTGTAGACCACCCCCAATTCCAACATGACCTCGTCCTCCCCGAAGAAACTCCGCATCGGCGTCATGCTCGAGGCCGTGCAGCTCTCCGACATTCTCGGCATCGACATCCTCGGGAACCTGTCCAAGGACTACATGTCCCAGGTCAAGGACCTCCAGCCGGCGTACGCCGCTTTCGAGTCTCACGCCATCGACATGGAGTTCTTCTACATCGCCACCACCCTCGAGCCGGGGTTCATGACGCCGGGCCTGCATTTTGTGCCGACTGTCACCTACGAGGACTGTCCGCGCGATCTAGACATCGTCCTCATCGGCGGCCCGCTGCTGAGCCACCGCCCGGAGCAGGCGGCTCGGTTCATGAGGGAGGCGTGGCCCAAGACCAGGGTGTGGTTGACTACTTGTATTGGGAGTATGTGGTTGGCGAGTTCAGGGGTGCTGGATGGATTGAAGTGTACGACGAATCGGGAGTGCTTGGGGTTGGCGAGGAAGATGCATCCTGAGGTGGAGTGGCTCGATCAGAGGTGGGTCATCCAGGATAAGGTCTTTGAAGGGGAGAGTAAGGGGGAGTTGTGGACTGCGGGGGGTGCTGGTGCTGGTGAGGCTCCTTTGATTTCGCTTGCTCGAGTTGTCGAAGGATGATTGCTGACCAGAAGCCACACCTAGGGATTCATATGGTTGCCACGTACTGCCTGGAAAACTTTGATCGCAAGTTTGTCAAGACGCTTGCCCTGGGCCCTTTGGAGTTTCGGCTGGATGGAAACGTGAGCCAGTTCTACCTGGCTTGATGCTCTTGGGCGGAATACGCAGACTACACTCCAGTACTGGATCACGCCGTCATTGTGGCTTTTTTTTTCAAGATGGATACAGCACGTCGAAGGAAGTAGTCAATCCGCACTGCGTGCTAAAGAGTGATACTACTTTCAGGACCTACAGGCTACAGCTTTGGTAAATTCACCACTTCAATGGTCATCGGACAGTGAATGAAACTTCGGTGCTGAATCATGTGATTTGATCACCAAAGCGCCTCATAGGATATCCTCCCTCAAGCCGAACCAGGGGTAAATCCCATTGGGTCGTGATCACTTACAGACATCGAGGTGGTACTGCCATCCCTGCTAGGGTTGGTAATTCTAACGCTAACTCCAAGTAACTCAAACTTTAACATTCTCCTCCACGGTACGAGAAGGAAGGTACGGCACTGCCATCAGATTCATCATTCCCATTCTCAGAACTTCCGTACTGATCCCCTCCTATCATTGTATCGAGACATTGAACATCATGGCCATCATCCCGTCGATTGCAGGCCTCGGTGCCGTCGTCAAAGTCCGAGGGGAGACAGCGAAAGAGTACATCAATCCCTACGGCGAAGAGGCCAACGTGACTCGGGACGATTTCGATCTTCTGGCGGACAACGGCGACACCTTACCATATGTTGTCAAGTCCATCGAGGCCAAACAGGCGAGCTGTACGCATTCCACGTTACCAAAACCAAGCGTCTCCGCGGACGGCGTCATCACATTGGTTTCGTTACTTCTTTTGACAGCCTAGCTTTGAGCATGCGCCATGAATCAGGTGCGGTGGCACCAGGGTAGAGGTGGGAAGCGGTGACTGGCAGCTACTTCACCGGCAACCCAATCTCGGGCTGTCAGAGTCACAAACTCCAGTTTGCGGCGTTTAAGATCGGTACAGCGACCATTGACAACTGTTGGTTGACGCTCGCTGACCGCTGACCACCCCACACTCACAGTCGACACCGATTCGCTCTGCGCGGAGGATCTCCAGCGTCAAGCAACGACCGCGCAGCAATGCGAAACTCTCCAAGTCCGTTTCTTCAACATGCAAAACAGTGGATACATAAATGGGCCGGGGATAGGGGTAATGTTCGATGAAGCCACCTCCCAGCTTGCCGAGAAGGCGGTCAAAGGCAAAGCTGTCGACTGTTTACAACGTAAGTCGCCGAGAACGTAGCGCCTCAGGCGTTATCCCAAGCTGACGAGCCCTCCAGTTACGTTACCGAGCCGACTTCTCCACCACCGAAGCAACGAATCGACAGCTACCACAATCTCAAGAAACGCCCATTTGCGAATCTCGAGTTCCGCTACCGAACTAGAGGTGACTAAGTAGGTAAGGAAGAGGGGTTGCAGTGCTGGCACCAATCAACCAACGAGGTCCGTTGAATGCAGCCATCAAGGCGGCTTCGTTCCGACAGAATCAAGTAAAGCGTCCATGATTTTGTATTATACGTGATTATAGGTAGGTACCTATGAAATGTTGTGAGCCGCGAAGCTGGTTTGAGGCACTGTTCACAGCAGAAGGTACCTAAGCGCTCCAAATGCAACTGCCAAACACGCGACGCTAGCGAGGGCCGACCGCTCGGCGGCATTGTCTCTCGGCCAGTCAATGCTTGTATCGTTGGCATCCTTGTGTTTGCACCGATGTGCAGTGAGGGACGCCCATATGCTCTCGGCAGCAGCAGAGCTGATCTCGACCTGGCAAGGATTCGCGGTCGGGTAGGGCTGGAGGAGGCCAGTACGGCGCAAGTCACGTTGCCATACTCGTTCGAGTAGGCGGGCTTCGTCGGAACCCAAACGGTTTCGTCCGTCACGCTGATGGCGGCACCGGGCTGTGCGCACGTCCCACCATTGTTTGCGGTATCGGCGACGAGATCCACTGCCTGCCCTCCGCTCTTGATGGTGAAATCGATGGACCGCTGCGAGATCTCGGTCGTATTCACCTTGACAGCGGACTCGGGGCCGCTCAGGTCGCAGCTGATCCACTCGACAATCCAAAACAGATCAAACTGACCCTCGCGGGCCTGCAAGTCTGCGAAGCCATACACAAAGTAGGGCTCATGGCTGGTCCAGTTGGTGTCGAACAATTCAATCTCGTTGCCCGGGCCTGCGGGCCCATCCTTCGGGTCGCTCGCGAACCGTGTCAACCAGCTAATGCGAGGTTCTGAGATGCTTGCGTGAGATGGGCATTGCGGAAGGCGAAGACGATTGGGAACCCTTCCCTGGGTGCATATGTCTCGTTTCGCGGAAACACCACGTCGATCTCCAGCACGCCGGCAGCTTCAATGACGGTCCAAACGCAGGGCTATAGCACCGCCAAGAAAGACACCACCCCGGAGAAGAGGCGCATGTTTATGTGGCCTCGGCCGGCAGCTGGAGAGGGCAGGAGGTTGGAATGTTGAAATGAGGTTGGGGGCGGCACTGGTGGCTCCGAGGTTGTCAATGCAATGCAGGGAAGACGGAAAAGGATGAAGAGCGTAAAAAGAAGAGTCGTCAAAGGGTTGGAAGGAGAGAGTCAGGGGAATCTGGCCCAGGGACATGTCGAATTCCTGGGGTTAGTCAAAACAGAGCTGCTCCTCTGGTAAATCACAGCAGTCGCAAAATCTCGCCTTTCGCACGCCAGCAATTGATGACTAAAGCAGGCCCGGGCTAGCACTCGCCCAAAGTTCTGCCGGTCGAGAACGCGTTCGCATTCCCGGACCAGGGCCGCCTCCGTAACAGCTCCAAACGGCGCCGGCGACGAAGGCAGGAAGTCGTCACCCATTTTACTTCGTTCACACTCATTAAAGTCCTCCAGCGCGCGCCCGCGCATTCGCGATGGCGGTGCATCTTCGGCGCCAGGATCCCGTCCGCTGTTTGGGGACGCGAACCAACTGTATCCGACCCTCGAAGAGGCTCCGGTGTTGGCCAGGCTCGCGCATGCCGTCGTGGCCTTCCCCCTTTCCGCTCAACCCCCGGAATTTTCCTTTTTCTCATCTTTCTACTAATCCTTCCTACTTGTAACGCACTGCTCGGCTCAACATGACGGTACAACAGCAGTCGCGCTTCTCTGAGCTGGACGAGGAAGGCGTGAATACACTCCTTCAGCTTTACTTGGAGAGCGCCATAGAGGAGGAGGCTAACAAGCACCTTCGTCGCTCTGGAAACGCGAAAGGAGCGTAATAGAGTATAGACTGAATGGACCGAGTATATCTTCTCTTCCCCCTCACCTTTCCTAGCCTCCCCCTCTCGTGAACCAAATCTCGACACAATACTTAGTACAATATACTGATGTATTACTGATTTCTTACATTTGATAAGATTCTATGCACTTACGAGAAAAAAGATGGCGAGATTGATGGTACTCCCCGGATATATGTGGCCCGCCTCCGAGCTCACGACTGGCGCTAACTGAGTGAAGCCGTCTTAATGTCGACCTTGCCGCATCTAGGTGGACCTCGCTCGGGTGTAACGGGCTGGGCCCGGTGCGAGCCTCGGCGACTCTCGGCCAATACCAAGACCCCTGATGAGGCTATTCCCACTCGCCCCACAGCACACCGAACCTTCTAGCAACGCGCTCAGACCAGCGCGCCTACGAGGATAAGTATGCTTGCGAGCTACCAGAGTCTGTCGTCTCTCCTTTTCTTTTCCAAGTTCAGTGTACTCGTAGAGTCGTCATCAGCTAGTTGCAATATACTACCTGAGACCGTTACATTGGTGGAGACTCGTCGTAGCGGCCGATTTCAAGATCCTCCGTGCTGAGCGGGCCGCGCTGCGAAGGAATGATAAACTCCTGGAGGCAACCGGCTCTTCCTGAAGTGGGCGCAAGAAGGCAAAAACGGAGGGTCCCACCTATTTGATTGTCAAGGTATGTGGAGCTGAACCGAATACATCAATTTTTCCTCTTTTTTGTGTCTAATTCTTTTTTTTCTAGTCATTGAGGTTGCCTCCTATACGCCTTCACTCTTCCCGTGTCATATACGTATGCTTTACTAACTAGTGTCTGGCTAACGTTAGTCCAGTAAAGGCAAGACCTTCTAGAGTCTAGGAAGCAGATCTCATCCTTGGCGAGTGCCTCAATCTCGTGCGGATCGGAGCCCTGTACCAGGAAATTGGTCAGGTGTCACAATATGAACCAACGGGAGCCAACAATGGCGGTTCACTTGCAGATGATAGTGGGGAACGAAGGACGTCACGAGCCAATCATTTAGGACCAATCGGAAGGAGACCTGGAGTTGGTCGAGAGAGCTTTGAGAGCATGAGAGAGCTTTGAGAGCATGAGAGAGCTTTGAGAGCATGAGAGAGCTTTGAGAGCATGAGAGAGC